CCTCAAGTGATATCATTAGAATTGAAGGCTCGCCTCAGAGTGTGCTTAAAGCCAAACAGGAATTGGAAATAATTATTAAGAAAATGGTTGAAAAAGAAAATGAAGTCTCAAAGGATCTAATGATTGAGCAGAGATTTCATCGACAGATCATTGGCGCCAAAGGAGAGCGAATTAAAGTGATTCGCGAGAGCTTTAATCAGGTTTTGACATCTTTTCACTACATTTAACGAAATTGTTTGCTTTGAATACTAGTCTCACATTTGCTGTGATTATAGGTTGTAATCATATTTCCCGAACCCAATGATAAGAGCGACAAAGTGACCATCAGAGGGACCCGAAAGGACGTGGACCAGTGCTACAAACACTTGTCTCAGCTCAACAAAGAACTCCTTACTAATAACCACAGAGTGGAAGTGCCTATATTTAAACAGTTCCATAAGTTTATCATTGGTAAAGAGGGCGCAAATATCAAAAAGGTGAGTTATTCACACATTTCAAACGCCTCCTTCCTTCTCATTCATTACCCAATTGTTGAATATTTTAGAAATTTAAATACTCTATGAGTTGTATAATAATATTGTCGACCATTTGATGTAAGAGTAAGATATTAGTTGAATTAATTGACATTTTTGTGTTACTAAACTACGATCGCCTCCAATCTCAACGCCATTTCATATTAATTACCATTTTTTATGCAATCGTTTCTGATTTTTGCAAATTGAGAGTCTTATCATTAGTTTGTGTGTCAATTATCGTTGGCATAGATTTTGTCGCTCAGCTTTTATTATTGTTTATCTAGGATTATGTCGTTAGATATTAAACTCTAATGTCAGCATTTGTCTAGAAATTGAAGCAATGTTATTTTAATTAATTGATTTGCAATGCAATCAATATATTTGAAATGCTAGTCTTTATTGAATTGCATGCTTTTGAACAGTAATTGAATTGAATGACAAAATGTTGATATTAACGGTGATTATATGTGTGATGATAGATAAGAGACGAAACGGGAACCCGAATTGATTTGCCGGCCGAAGGGGCCGACTCTGATGTGATTGTTATAACGGGAATGAAGAGTAATGTGGAGACGGCTCGCGACCGCATTCAGACGATTCAGAATGAGTTGGAAGACGTGGTTCAGGTCGATATTATGATCCCTTCAAAGATCCATAATTATATAATCGGTGCGAAAGGGCGTCAAATCAGACAAATAATGGATGACTGCGGAGGCGTTGTTATCCGATTCCCTCCCGAAGGCGCCGGCAGTGATAAGGTCTCTATTAGAGGGCCCAAAGATTGCGTCCAAAAAGCTAAACAGCAATTGATTGCCATTTCAAACGAACAACAGATTAACAATTTTAGCGAAGAATTGAAGATAAAACCCGAACACCACAGATATCTGATCGGCAAAAATGGTGCTAACATTAAGAAAGTTAGAGACAATGCCGGCGCCCGAGTCTTCTTCCCCACCGGCAAAGAGGAGTCGGCGGCGGACAGGGATTCCGTTATTATCACCGGCAAGAAAGAGGAAGTGATTAAAGCGAGACAAATGTTAGAAGAGATGGTCAAAGATTTAGAGAAAGTGGTTGAGGGAGAGATGAAAGTGGAGCCCAAATATCACAAGCATTTTGTCGCCCGTCGCGGAGCTATTCTCAAACAGATTGGCGACGAATTCGGTGGCGTAACCATTAGTTTCCCGCGAAGTGCTCAAAGAGATAGCGATAGAGTTGTTCTCAAAGGCGCTAAAGAGTGTATTGAGAGCGCGAAGCAAAGAATCACTGAAATAATTGAAGACTTGGATTCACAGATCACTATTGAATGTGTAATCCCATCGAAATATCATCGAACACTTATGGGCACTCGTGGCACAAGAGTACAGGCCATCACTCAAGAGCACGACGTGAGGATCAAATTCCCCGAAAGAGGCACTAATGGTGTGGCCGGCGATGAAGACGTAGCCAATGGCGACATCAATGGTAGCACTGATAGTCTGGAGAAGAGTCAGAAGAAGTCAGACATAATAATCATAACGGGAAGGGCCGAGAAGTGTGAATCCGCTCAAAACGCTTTGTTAGCTTTAATTCCTATTACTATTGAAGTTGAGGTGCCTTTCGATTTGCACCGATTTATTATTGGACAGAAGGGCCGCGAAG